AGATGGCAAAAAATTGCATCTGAAAATAAGATTATTTAAAATTTTGGATAATGTATTACATTGTCAAACTCAAAAGGTTTTTGATACTTTAATTGTCATCATCATCATCTCTCTCTCTCCTCCTCCTCCCCTCGGAGGGACTGTCGTTCCTTGTGGAAAACACAACAAGGAACTCCTCAGCTCCTTGCTCCCCCCCCCAAATCTCTTTTTTTGTTGTTGGCCACTGGTGGTCACCGCATATGGTCCTCGGCGATACGCTCTTGCCCGCCACCCCTTTAAAATGCGCAAGGACGGGACAAAACGGCGTGGATCCTTTTATTAAAACCCCCTGTATTACAAAGGAATTTTAATAAAAAGATTGTGATGACGTCAGTGCCTCTCACCAGCCATAAACCTCACCGCACGTCACTGTTTAAGAAGGTACTTGGTTGATACCTAGAATGCTGGCAGCAATCCATATCAACCATTAGCACCAGTCAATGGTATTTGTGATGCATTTTTGAATGTTCAGTTAGCTGAGTTTTATGTTTAATGAATAAAGTATAATAATAATAAAAATTAAAACTTGTTTCTGGGCTTACTTGTACTGCTGTGGTGAAAGCCGGGGGCTATTGCTGCCGTTGCTGTTGACTTGTTCTACAGTGCTGCTCACATCATCATGGCCTATGTGCAGCATGCCACTAGTTGAGCTTGTGTTGATCATGGTGGGACTATTCAGAAGAGGAAAGTTGCTCTCAGCCAGAGCTGCCTAAACATAAACAGCAACTGATATACTTCACAAATTCTTAAAAACAGCAACTGATATACTTCACAAATTTCATTCTCAAATAGGACATGTTTGGAAAACAATCCCAGATATTTATTTACTGAGAAAATGGTTAAATCCTTATACTAACAGTACTTTCATTTTTCAGAAAAGATCAATAGATTAGACAAATAAAAATGTATTACTTTATTAAGAATGTTTATTTTCTACCTTCTCATTCAGTAATATCAATTATGATGGCTTACAAGAAAAAATAGTTCAATGTAGATAATTAAAATATAATTAGAATAGAATAGAGCTGGGAGGGATCTTAGAGATCTTTTAGTCCCTGCTCAAGCAGACCCTATATCATTTCAGACAAGTGTTTGTCCAGTCTCTTCTTAAAAATGTCCAGTGATGAAGCACCACAACTTCTGAAGGCAAGCTGTTCCACTGGTTAATTGTTCTCACTTTTAGGAAATTTCTCCTTAATTCCAGGTTGTTTCTCTCCTTGATTTGAAAGCCCCATTGGTTAACCTCTATGGTTTTATTCCTTTATGGTTTTATCCCTTTAAAAATATTGAGGCAAAAATGTTGGTCTTTTTCAAGCTGATGTAAGAAATATAAGCTTTCTACCGGTATGTGTACTGATAAGTTTTTGGTCTGAAGCTTAATTTAATGAGATTCATTGAATAGTTCTATGTCACTCTTTCCCTAACAGAAAATATGCCTAAAACATCTACAGAGCTAGTCTATGTTAGGACCCAATACTGTATTTTATTCCAATCTGTTATTCCCCATCAGAAGAGAAAGATAGCAGACCAGTGATCTATTCTGCCATTTGATGTCATTTATTTCTTCTCACCTTGTTAAAAGTTAGTACTTACTGTATTTTTCGCACTATAAGACACACTTCCCCCACAAAAAAGTGGGTGGAAATGTCTGTGTGTTTGTAGAGCAAATATTGCGGCAGGGGGGTTGTCACCACCGCTGCCACCATTTGCCACTGCCACCACTGCCGCCACCAAAGGCAGCGGCAATGATTGATGGCAGTAGTGATAGGTGGCAGCAATTCCCGCCGCCTAGAACAGCTAATCAGCAGTATTCCAGGAGGCCGATCCAACCACCAATTAGCTGCTCAGCAGCAAACGTTCCAGTGTTCCCTGGTGGTGGCAGTTCAGCTCAGTTGACCAGTGGTGGGCACAATGGAGTGGAGCCTTAACAAGCCACATGCTGAGGTTGTAATAATGTGCTGAAGCTGACTGCTTGCTGTTTGCTGCAAGGACACTAGCCAGATAAGTGGTGGGTTCCTCCTGGTTCGGCTGAACCGGTAGTGGTTTGGCAGCCTGGGTCGCTGGAACCGGCAGTGACCCAGGCCTGCCATGCCTCTGAATCGGTTCTCCGGCCGGCACCATCAGTGGAGCCATCTTGTTTTTTGGTTCTGCACATGCGCAGAATAATTTTCATTGCACAAATTTATTTATTTTTCCATTTTTTAACGTTGTGCACATGCGCAGACCTATTTATGTGCAAATATGCACGTGCGCGGAGCCGAACCAGCAGTAAGGCCGACAGCAACCCACTCCTGAGCCAGATGAATACTGGATGGATACTGGGAAGCAGAGGCAGATTTTCTCCCCTTGTTTTCATCCTCTAAAGCTAATGTGCAACTTATGGTTTTGTGCAGCTTATAGTGTGAAAAATACAGAATATTGTGAATATTGTGAAATATAAGCAAACATTGCAATGTAACAGAAACAGCAAGAAGGTGGATATTGGAGTGCAGTGGTGGTGAAGTGGTGTGAGTTATAGTAATCTGGTTCCTCTGATTATCTTGAGGGAAAATACCCACACTGAATATTCTGTACTGGAATATTAAACTAAATGGAATAATGACTTCAATCATCATTGAAAGAGTTTTGAAGATTTTCTACAATGCAGTACACGATTCCAATAGAGCAGGAGATTACTCTGATGGCTTGGAACAACCAACCCAATATTTCCCTAACAAAGATGGCTTGCTGTAATGGAAACAATTGTGCTTCTCCACAAATCTTACCTGGTAGCTGGCATTAAGTGCTCCATAACTAAGGCCAGAAATCATGTTTTTCACTAAAGTTGGACTCCTGTAAACAAAAGATGCAGCTTTTAACATTCCTATTAAAAAACAAGAGAAAGATAACAGAGGTCTCTTGGAAAGAACACATTGTTCATCTCCCTCATTGTTTAGTCTTTCCCAATTCCCATAATTTACAACTCCCATAATACAAAATCAGCATTTTAAGGAGTATTGGGATATTCCTAGTCTAGCTTTATAATGCAGCTATTTTCTCTCAAAATATTCTAAGTCCTGCTATAGTGTGTCTTGTTTTATTTTACGTTTCCAGACCATTCAGGAAGGATTCTTGGAAAGAGACAGGGATAAGTAGGTGAAGGTAACTTCTCCCTACTCCTTGCAACATAGACATTATCACTATGGGAATAATTCTGGACATTTCTATTACTTTAAAAAAAACTATTCACCCTGTGTTATGGTTGATGTTTCTCAACATCACCTAAGGATGTTTTATACTACTGTATATATACAATACCTTGGTGGTAGAAGGCAGATAACAAGTATGTAAGTGTGAAGTCTTTCACAGAATAATATTAGAATGTTTGTGGTAAAATTGAGTTCTTACTAAAATTATGGCATTCTGGCCAAAATGTCAAAGTTGGCTGACACTTACCATTATTAGGGAATTCTGTATGTGGTAAAACTGTGACTATGTTTAATAACCTTCTCTATTTTACTCCACACACCCCCCCGCAAAAAAAACAACCCCATTGACCCTTGATTAATCAAAGCCATGATAGACACTGGAGATCAGTATCTGTGAGTCCATCTGTTGTTGATCAGTATATATAGGAAACTGAAAGACTGTTGAAATGCAAAATGTTTTTGCATTTATCTTTTATACCGTATATGTAAAACTATAATAAAAATTACACCCATATACAAACATACATATGAAATATAGTGAATGGTAGTGGTGTAAATTGGTATAGATTTAGCTGTTAGCTGTGATATAAAAATAGTAATCATATAATAATTAAGCAGAAAGCTACCATTGAAAGACAAATGTTACTTTGTTTCTGAATCTTAGATATTTGGATTATTATTTTTTAATTATTAGAGATTTTCAAAGTGATTTAATATAAAGTTAAAATATTTCTCTTATCTAGATTATTTATATTACCTCAGTTTTTTGTATAAATATACCTCTAAACATAGCTAATGGCAAAACAAAAAATGGTTTATCATTATTTAACAACATTTTCTTCACAATAACGGGAAGTTATTGGAATGCTACGAGTGGTTCCTTCATATTTATGGAATACCATTAGCACCTTTCAGTTGTTATCTGGTATCTGTCCTTTGTATCTGTTCATTCTGCCGAAAGGCTTTTATGTATTTTTACCAGAGCTACTACATGCTGAGTTGATGTTTGCAGCACAATTCTATACATTCAAGAAGGGAAGTATATAATTATTTTGATCATGTAAACTTACAGAGATTAATAGCATGGCTATAGCAATAACATTGGTATCAATGCAAATTGAATGTACCAGATACATTCACTTTTTTTTTCATTTCCATTTTGACTGTTTTTTATTTGACTAAACTCCTCTTCTTTGATTCTTGTATAAAGTATCTTTATGACATTCCCAAGGGAACTGTCATAAACTGTGGCAAGGCAATCTCTGAAACATTTAGTGAGAAGGGTCTGATGTCAATAGGGGATATTTACATTTGCACACATTTATATACACATGGAATATTAAAGTGAACAGACACCCAAATGATTATAAAATCATTGAATAGTGTGCTGTGCTTCAGTTCACTCTAAAAAGCTGACGTCAACATAAGCATTAGTTATTAAAGCAAAAGTTAAAATATGTTCTAAAAAAGCCTAAATGCATAATGAAGTCCATCAGGGACGCAATAATCATACAAGCCTCTCAGTCACCTCTTTTCCTGGGTCATTTGGTGGGAATTATATTGGGGTTATTTCAAAAATATACTACTAGTTTATGTATATACAGTTTATAATATATCACTGGTGATCACAAACCTAATACTTTTTAGAAGCATTCATGAAGGCTATGAATGAGTAATAGTTATGACAGATATATATTGGTGTGAGATCTAATGCTCCTATTCCAGAGTTCCCATGAACTTCCCACCTGCATGTAGTCTGGGCTTTACATACTCCTAACTATTCTCATACCTCAGCAGATGGTATCATTGGCTTGTCTGTGTTCAGAAACTAAGAAGAGTAAATCTGAAATCACCTGAAATCACTGGAAAATAACATATGAGTATGGGCCAGTTTCAGGACTAAATGTCAGAAACTACTTGTGTTTTGTGTGTTGTGTTTATTTACTCACCAAGTGTTATACTTAAGGTCACCTTTACTTTTTCAAAATTGTTCTCAGATTGAACCATAACACTCCTCTTCCCAAAGAAGCTACCCGACAAGCTACCAGACATACCCGGTCATCTTTGGTGGCCTTCTCTTTTGGTACTCATGTTCATCTACTGTCCACACTGCTCCCTTGACATTTTCCACACGCACAAAGCACTTATGCAGGCTCAGGTTGTGGCGTACAGCATTCTACAAGCAGGGTAGAGAGAAAAACAGAATATTGCCAAAGTAGAGGGAGATCTTCCATTTAACAGTTCCTCTCCAATAAAAATTTCCAATCAATTTTTCTGTTAACCAAACATAGCCTCCTACAGAGCTGTCATCAACAAAATGATATCTATATTCTTAACAACTCTATATAATAAGTTCTAAGGAAGAACTGGTTTCAGTTTATCATATGCTGAAAACAACATATAGTAATCATTGTAGCAGATGGGTTTTTGTTGAATTCTCTTTATTCAATTGTCCTACAATATTGCTCATTTATACCTCTTGATCTGTATGAAATCTTTGCTCCTAAACATTAACAGTCCCAGTTAGCACATGTCATAACACAGACATACTCATGGACTATCCGGAAGAAATTCAATAGTTATGAGATCTGAGAGCATGAAATAGAATGTCAGTAACAGGAGAAAAAAATATGATCACTAGTTACATGAGACACTACTGCAATGAGATCAAGTGGCCCACAGCCACTTGAAAAAGACTATTACTTACAGATACAAAAGGAAGGGATTACTGAATGACAATTTCAATCCAGTTTTCCTGAAAGTCGGTGGACTTCATCAAATGGGCAACCATTCTTTCTTAAACTCTAAAAGATCTAGTAATAAAACTTCCATACAACAACCATGTATTGCAATCTAATTTTAATGGATTTTTTATTATTATTGTTGTTGTTTTTATTTCCTTATCAATCAACAATATTCACTGGGTTTCCACAAACCACACTACATATTTCTTTATTATTGGCTAAATTAGGGGGAAAAGAAGGAGAGAAAAAGTAAGCTCAGATATTGCGATGAATTTCTATTGTCATCTTCTTTCTGAAACCCCGAGTTCTCCCCGCTTTTTCACAGCACGTCCCTCCTCCTTATTCTCCCATCTTTACATTTCTAAATGTAAAAATAAAGAAAATGCACATACACAGGCAGTGTTGCCCTGAGAGCTACTAGCTCCTTCTCTCCCCCCCACCCCCGCCGCTCCCTGCCATTTGCTACTGCCCCTATTTCATTACCAATTTTAATTTGCCTCTAATTAAATCCTGTGTATTTTTCCGACTCACTTGCTAATCCATGAGGGAGGCAGGAGGCTGGAGTGGAATCTCTCCGAGCTATAATTACAAAGGGCCTAATCACGTTGGGGCTCTGCCTTTGAATAAATTTCCTTGCATTAAGGTTCTCAGATTCTCTGCCTTGCAAATGAGAATGACCCCAATTTCAGGATGTTGGCCTCAGAGGATTTTTTTTTTTATTTCGAGCCCTGATTCGTGATGAGAGACTAATTCGTTACGCTAAAACATTAACAGCAATTTAAAAGGTCGAATGGGGGCCGTATAAACAAAAGAGCTGGCCAAGACAACAAGGCAAAAGCGAGAGATGGGAAACAATCCCCCCCACCTTAGAAATGTTACAGTTCTTGGAAACTCAATGAATTAAGAGTTTTTCCTCCAATTTTGAACACTGTTTATTTTTCAAGGTCCTCTCTCCACTTAGTTATCCAATTGTAATTATGCATTTGTTCCTCCTCAATGCCTCTGCTCCCCAAATTTAGAAAGGAAGGCCTTTTTTATTTTTGTTATAAAGGGCATTTTTGTCATAAATGTCTGTAACCACATTAGGTTTGATATTGCTGACACATCACTTGATCAGCAAAGGAATTTAGCAGTAGGGAAAACTTCTTTCTTGGCGCTGAAAAAGACCGCAGTGACTGACAAAAGGGAAAGAGCGAGTTTTCATACTGGCATGCCTATGACAAATGTATGTATGCATATGTGTGTGTGTGTGTGTGTGTGTATGTATGTATGTATGTATGTGTATGTGTGTGTGTGTGTGTGTGTGTGTATGTGTGTGTGTGTGTGTGTGTGAGAGAGAGAGAGAGAGAGAGAGATTACAGAAATAATGCAGACAAAGGTTAACCATAAGTGAGAGTATGATGTATTTTTTAATTCATCTATATATCAAAGAAAATCAGAAATCGTTCTTTTTTCTTTCTTGATTTTTTCCTCTTTTTAAAACCTTTTTGTTGTCTGTTTGTCTTTTAAAATTTTCTGTTTTTTAAAAATCAATAAAATTATTTAAAAGAAATAAATAAAAAGAAAAAGCTTCCACTTGACTTTGCTTTGCTACTTCTTGGACCAGGCGACCCAAATTTCAGGCAGCTAAAGACTTTGTCAATAGCCTTCAATCATCGCCACTGAACACTTCCAAAATGAGGGGACTCCGTGTCTCCTTGGGGCAGCTGTACGCAACTTCACAACAGCTTCAGGGAATCTGCAAGGTATCATTGGTTTTAACACAGTAATTGCAACCTAATAAAATGGTTTTACTAATTGCTTTGCTGGTGTTAATACAGAAGTCCAAACAGTATTTGTTCTCCTGCATGTTTTTCAATGACATTTAAACTCTTCACTTTCTGTGGCATTGAAAGTGCATGGCTGTAGCGTGAGGTTGTGATAAATACTAAATACTGTTTGGTGGATTATCTGTAACCAGAATAGCCCCACCACTGAAGATTACCTGTAATATATATCTCACAGATAGTGGGAGAGGGTGCATGTGTGTGTAAGAAAGGAAGAAGTGAGCTGAAGAGGGCAGGAAAAGAATAATGAAAATGATAGGAATTCCATTTCAGATAAGAATTGAATCTGTATCTCAATACAATCACAACACTGAAATCAAAGATATGTTAGGCACTCTCTGTAAAAATGCGGTTGCCTTATTTGATATCTGGTTGGAATACATAGTTGGAAAACAAATGATTCATTTTTCCTATGGCTCATAAGAATGATAATGCATTTGGAAATATACTTCCCATGTGTTCTTCTCAAGGGATGTGATTTTCTTGTTGGGACAGTATCAGAGATGGTATTCAGCTGGTTCTCTCCAGTTGGGGTGAATCGGTAGCAGCGGCTGCGAGAGGCTCCACCCACCCACCCCGATGTAATGTGCAAGCACTGCACATGCCCAGAAGGTGGTGCTCATGTGCAGATGAGGCGCATACATTCACATTCGCGAACCGGTAGGGAAAGTAAGTAAATCCCACCACTGAATAGTACCCTGGGCACATTTGTTTCCCAACTAGATAACTGACCAAATACTATGATTTAAAAGTGAGTCTTGTTCTTCTGGTAATCAGAGGTTCCGATCCAAACCTAGATTTGTTTTAGCATCAGTGTGCTATTTTATTGCTTTTGCCCACTTCCTATAAACAGAAGTGTGACATTATCTTATTTTGTATACCTAGTAAGAAATGTAATAGTAACATAATTATTGTGATTTATTATTGGTCCCCTATTGTTCTATGCTATTCTCACATCTTTCTGGAACTTTTTTTTTGCAAGAATGTTCTGTTCAAATTTAGAAGCATAATTTTGTATCACAATGCCAATCTGATGGCTGACACGGCTTGAATTCTGAAGGATCTTCAACTTTTTCGCATTTTGGAACTTACCCTTTTTTATTCCTCTTTATCTTCCCACCAGTGGGTGGTAGCAGGGTTCTGTCAAGCACATCTTGCTTTTTTATTTTATTTTTTTGCTTCAATTCTGTGACTCCATGCTCTAGGGAGGCCTTCTTGCCTGATTTTATGCAGCTTTTGTATTTTTACAGAGTATTTGTCTAATATCAGCCTTGGCTGCTCTGTTTGTTTCTTATCTTTGCCTTTTCTAATGATGTTTGCTTTATGCCTCTGGCCCAGCCGGTTCTCCAGCTCAAATCCCAGCCATTTAGTATCTCCCTCAGCTCCTTACCATGTGTGCTGCTGTTGTCATATCATTGAAAGCCTCCTCACACCTGTCTCTTTATAGGCACTGGGCACTTTACCTCTTGGCACCTGTTTACTTTGCATTTGCCCAGTTTCTATTAAAAGAATACTTCAAAGTGCTATAGAAGGCTATCTAAATGTTATCATCATTAAAACATTGAAACACTTTCTTTGTGTCACACGAAATATATACTTGCAGGAAAAAAAACATGTCCTGGTGTTAAAATATCTGTTCTACCCATAATCCTTTTGGAGAAAAAAAAACACTTTGCTTTAATTCTTCCAATGAAAAAGAAAAGTGTATCTAGAACTTCCAGTGATAACTAAACAACCATGTTGGAAGGCAACTCACAAAAATAATTTAAAAGCTGTTTTTCATGGGCAGGGGCTTTAAAAATTGTAACAACATTTTTTTTCTAATATAGACAAGATGGCTTATATGTTTGTATCAATACAGAACACAAAGATGGACAACATTTTATCCACTCCATTTCCTGCAAAGATATAAACACAAACATTTGGATGTCCATTTTCTATTCTCACCATACCAGTTCTCAACGGGAGTCTGTGTGACATTTTTCCAGCACTTCCCTCCTTACCCCATTTTCTCCAATGGAGCTCCACTTGCAACATGCATAGTATATGATCAGTTAGTTTAGTAGGTACAAAGTATTTGTACTTGTAGTTTTTGAACCAAACCATTAGAGGGAGTCGATGATTGGTCAATGATTACACTAGTTTCTTTCAACTTTCAGTTCACAGATACCTATTCTGATTAACTATGTGGTTTTTGCTTAAAGTAAGAATTGAAAATAAAAGTGTCATCTAACCACATCTTGACTCAGATCAGTCCGTATCATAAAAAACAAATATCCCAATAGCGCTTGCTAAAAGGTTGACGCAATTGACCTTAGTACAACAGTCTAAAGCCAATTTTTACATGTCTACACCCAAAGAATAGCAGCAGCAGCATTCATTATATTAGTACATATTATTTATTAATTATTTTTTGTATGAATTTTAAAACTTACAGAATACAATTTCCTTCTCCGAACATGGATAAAACTTAAAGCACTATAGATCAGGGGTATTAAACTCGATTTTACTGAGGGCTGCATCAGTGTTATGTTTGACCTCGGAGAGCTGGCGGGGGAGCATAGTACCATGGTGGACATGTCAGGGGCACCTATGGTGGCCAAGCG